TGTAAGCGAGGCATGAAGAAATGCACATAGGGATTAGGTAGAATCGGTGTCTCCTGTCTTCCAGTTTTGGGCCCGAAAGACTCTGCAACTGGCTCGTTGGAGATACTGAAGGATATGGCGACTGACCGACAGCAGTGGCCTCTTGGCATTTCTTAACAGGGCAGAATGCTTGGAAAAAGGTATGCATGAACACTTAGTGTGTGCTCTGTGTGTTGAACATAGAGGTTCTTTTTCTTTGCCTCCTTCCAAGTAAGCCCAATCCCTCTCTATCTTGTGCTTTATCACTTGATTTGTGTACATTGTGAGCTTGGTAGCGATCAATGAATTTCGCTTCACTGTATCTCGCTGTACGCTTATGATGATGATGCTGAGTATCTTGGTCCTTCACGTAGGAGGTTCGAATAGGATTTTCGTTTTAGTCGATAAAAATGGTCGAGGAGTGATTGATCCAAGTAAATGGGTCTCCACCTCGCTTCACCCGCTGCCTTGCGGCTAGGTTATTTTCAGAACTAAAGGCTTTGGTTGAGAACCCTAATCTTTCTCCTGTTTAGTGGCAGGACACCCTAACAGTACCCGTCCATCAAACCCCAGTGCATATACATTGCGAGTTTGGCAGGGATCAGTGAGGTTCGCTTCTCTGTATTTCGCTGTAAGATGATGATGATGATGAGAGGTCCTCTTGAAAACCACAGAGGTAGTTAGTCAATAAGTGTTTTGCTGGTGTGCTGAAAGTGGGTATTGGCCACTACCATCTAGTCAAGGTCAGCAAACGTGAGCCAGGCTTTTGTGTTTTCGCAACGGTGGCCAAGACCAAACTTCCCCAGAGCATGGTGAGTACGCTCGTCTGATAGTTCAGTACGTGCATTCCAGTTCCCTGCTCTAAGGAGAATATCGCGTCTCGGACTGCCGCTGACTGCGTCTAGAACTTGGTTGTAGGAGTCGTCTTGATGGGCGCTTCCGCATGTAATGTTGTACCATGGACAGGGATTTCGCTGTACGATGATGGACGGGGATAACGGTCAGGTTAAGCGGCTTATCACTGAAGCGCACAATGGCAGTCCTGGGAGAGACCGAATTCCAGGATATCTTGACGTTATTGGCCCGATCGCGCACGGCGATTGCTGCGCCGTACAAACCGGAGTTGTCAGTTGGTCAGCTGTGCTATAGCCGATAGGTTTCGTCTCTATGCAATGCGTTGATTTCTTTTGTGCCAAAGTTAGACACTTGGAATTTAGGCAGACTGCAGATGTCTGTTTTATAATCGTTCATGGTAGCAGTATGTCTAAAAGTGTCTTAACATTCCAGCATGCTTCATGGATACTGGTGTATAGGTTGTTTCGATTTTCAGCTTATTCGTTTGTCACCCCAGTCACTGGGAGAGCGCAGGACGCGTCACTTCTCGGGAACGCTGTATCATGAACGTGACGTAACTTTGTAAGATAACCCATGCGTAAACTTGGGAATGAAAGAACTGAGAATGAATCGTCATATTTTAGGTTTTATAAGCCTTCAACTGTGGTAAAC